TGCATAAGAGAACAGTATCAGGGTCTATAGGAACCTGCTGTAGCACAGCCCCTTTGAGCGAATTCTGAAGAAGCACAATTATCGAAATTACTACAAATTAAAAAAATTCTTATAGCTATAGCCAGAAGATGAATGAAAACAGATGGGAGAATATAACTTACCAGGGATAGAGAAGAGAAACATTCTTCTCTGCATCAAGAATATCTCAGATGCCATTGAGATTATTACCCTTCTTCAGAACACATACAGTTCACAATCCTAAGAAATTACTACAGAGCTCCTTATGAATACCAAACCATTGATATGACATTGACTGATAATTTGCAATGGTAGACAATTGTTCAGTAACCTTGAGATTTCCTCCCTGGTTGCCGTTGTATTTCTCGAAAACAGAACAAGTTGAGGCAAAGTCAACGTATAGCTGTCATAATCAGTGAACACACAAATGATCCTAAACAACCAATTAGATCGTGATAATATAAAGCCTGTTAACAGGGTAAAACTTGTATCAGAGTATATAAAAAACCAAAGGGACAGCTATTGGAAATGCAATCTGGTTTTCGTTGGAGTGTCTATAGAAAATGAGGACTAGTAACATGTATTAAAAGTACCCATATTTGGTTTGATGACTTCCGTCCTCAAATATGCTGTTTTCGAATGAGAATGGTCTCATCAGCACATACTAAAACTACACCACCACCAAGAGAAACAGTAATACTGCTTGTTTCCCATTATGTGACACACATGCAAGATGAAATCCTTTGTATAGCTGGAACAAGGCTATCACGCACTTCAGAAACTGCCAATGTGCACGGGCATTCTTGTATTCAGTCATGGGAAAAAAAGATCTTCGTCAAGTTCAGATTTCATTCAGAAAAATGAGCTTTTAAGAACAGATATGAGACTGATTGACAATATGCCAAAAAACGGATTTCTTTCTTCCTCACGTAGCACACTGGAATGCGTAAACATCAACAGGTTCTCTATTGGGATGGATACTCATGTAATCTCTACACCTATTTAGTATCAGTCTTCCTATCAATTCATGCTCTACACAATACTGAGAAACAGTATCGAAATGATTCTGTGAACAAGGCGATTGTACATCATTCATCGCTAATAGCCTATACGTCAGCCAGTGTCAGATACCTTAAGTTCTCCATGCTGTGTGAGATAGCTGTGGTTCGGCAGGCTTGTATTAATGCTTGGTAGTGATTAAAGGTGAAATAAAAATTTGGGACGCTTCCAGATTCGAATCACCGACTACTGGGTTCCCGGCAAGGTGAGGATTGCCTACAGATATCAGGCAGAATGGTTGAGAGTTCACTCGATAAATATGAAGAAGGTGGAAAAAATAAAAGGAAGGGTTACGATGAGATTGACTGTAGTCAATTAGAGAAGCGAAACGTAATTAAAAGCATGAGAGTAGCAGAGACTTGACTCATAGATTGTTAAATCTCGCTCTATGGAAACTAGTGATAGATTTACATTCTCCTCTTGATAGCTATGCAGGTAAAAGGTTTGGAAAGCGCACGATCTGTACAGCCAACGCAGCTAACTGTACAGAATCAGGTGAACTTATAAACTCAGGGTTAGAACCTAACGGTGGCTTGTGGCTGTTTAAGATGGCATGAACTGGAATTATCAATTTGATTTATATATTTTCCAGTTCTACAGGATTATTTGGAGGTCGTTTTACATAGCTTGCAGGTTCTTTAGCAGGAATGAGAATTTCGCCGGATGATTCTCCAATATTATAAGCATCAGAATCGACACAGTTTAGTGTAAAATCAATTACTCGCACAACTGAAAAAAGCCTTTCTGACCGATTTGCTTATTCATTCACCTGCATTGTGTTGCTCTTTGCTCCGTATCACGATGTAACTGGATGATCGTAAAGGTCACCACCTTCTGTACCAAAACTTGAATATTAACCAGAAAACAATGTCAAATCCATACTCTTGTAAAGGATCTTCCTAGAAAGTTTGAAACGTTGAGGAATCATACAAAATATCTGTTTATTTTGTTATTTGTTCCAATATATTACGCCATGATTACACCTTATGCGACGTATAGTAGCTTTATTTCAAGCAATATGTTTGATACAGTATGGAATTCTTAGTATATAGTAAACAGGGAAATTTACTCCCAAGACAATATTTTCAAGCAAAATGACTATGGGTCCGAATGATGTTTATGATAACAGCATCAAGGTAATAATGTGAAGTAGCCGGTTGGTGATGGGTTAACGTAAGGCGTTTAGTGGTGGTGGTTCATTTAACCAGTAGAATGTACTATTCGAGATGGTATCCGAAAAATTGAAATACGATGTATTTTTGTGTATTTAAAAGTCTGTCCGTGTCTAATAAGACATTTTTCTTTCGTTTTGTTATCACTTCGAAAAGGACTTTTTCAGAACATTTTAAACATCACCAAGAATGCATGCGTTTGAAGGACTGGTAAATTAAAACAAACTGGGAGGGAGGTATTTGTCATAATTTGTCGGGTAGAAAATTTCATCGGTAGCTCAAAGTTCTAGTAGGCCTCCAATAATTCTTTGTGGAGGTAGAAGAAATTTGATTCTCAAAGTAGAATTAAGCACCCCTGAGGTTGTTGATGCTGGAGAATTTCCAAATCCAGTCAGCAACTGATGTTTATACCAAAATTGTCATTGAAAGCTTCAAAAGGATTTCCAAACTACAAGCAACGGTGGATAGCTGAGGCAGTTCACATTTCCTTGGAATCTAATGCACTTAACAGAAAAGAACGCCTAACTGTCCAACCAACTTGGACAGTTTATCCGAAGTAACATGTTGCACATACTAATCACATGCAAAGTACATAAGCACAAAATAAACTGTTTCTAATTCGGATTACTTTTCTCACACATTCACATCTTCACCTTGAACTCACTGACTAACAGATGATAACGATGACATTTATTCTTATATTGTTACCATGTATAAACTATGTGATCTGACTTATCTCCATTTTCTATCTAGATAATCTGTAAGTGCTTTATTCTCTGAAGAAGCACCTTCGCCTTCCACGACGACACGAAACATCAGTGGTTTACTATTCTATCTTATTGGGATTTTACAAATACATTTCCTTTATAAACCATTTACCCAACCTAATCATTTCTATCAGGTCAAATTTTGATCCTGAAGTTTATAAAAACTCTATAGATGCACACCATCCAAGAAAAGTTGAGTAGGTTCAGAATGCACTGATATAAAGGCTTAGTACATGGGAACTTCATGTGATGTCTGTTAGACAGTATAGAAGTGCAGCTTTACGTTTACTGATAGAATTTTGTTGTACTCTTCCTTGTTTGGCACACCAGGGTTAATTATTGCATTTTGGTTATACTTTAATATATAAGTGACTATTTCACTCTATCAATGTTCTTGTTCTCATTTGGTTTTTAAGTTAGTATATTAGTGAAAATTATTGTGCCTAGTCAGTGAACTTGCAGTTCAGTCTTTTGATTTCATTCACTATCAGCAGTTATTGGTTGATCATAGTAAATCGTTAGTGTCAAAGGGTTTACATAAGGTATGGTTTGATCACCACTTTATATTTTATTTGACCCATTCATTACCAGCATATCTTACTCCCGCCCACAGTATCGATTTATGTACGCATCAATGTTTTTTAAGCCAACCTTGGTATCTCATCTCACCCATTAGCACAGCAACCTGTAGCGTAAGGTAGCATTTATAATTCAAAAGTTATCCAGGTTTTACCTACATATTCCCTTCCTGATTCTTCTATTTCTTTATCGATAGGCTCCTTCAACTAACGCTTTGTTGAACAGTTTCAACGAAGAAAAGGTACGTTTGCATATTTCTTAGTTCATTCGTAAACTGGCTAATTTGTTTCCTCGACTTGTACTTTTCAATGGAAAGCTTAAACAAGGAAATGTTTGTCTACTTTTCTTGTTCATTTCATTGCTTTGTCAAGGAAAGTTCAAAATATTAGCCAACAAAAAAGCTACGAAGTGATAAGATGAACAAAATGGTAGGAAATTATGGGTGTGTCATTTCTCTAAAAGTATTACAAGAAAACATACTGACATACCAATACATACATACACACACAGACAAGGTTACATACTGATACTCAACCAGCTTTACTTACAACTCTTGTATTAATCGTATAGAACACTCCACTGGATAATACGCAGGTGAACGCCTATAAGTATAAAGTTCATCCACTGACGAAGCTGCTTGTCGTGTGTGAGCTATCGTGTACTATACTTATTTACTAGTATATTTACTTGGGACCAGTGTATCTGTTTGAGTAATTTTGGTATTACCCAATCTCAAGAAGGGAAATTAAACAACCACCTGGATATCGACAAAGAAAAGCTGTCTAACAGTGGTCACTCCCCTATTTAAAACTCTATTGGTGGAAATGCTTTACTCTTTTAAATTGATGAGATAGTTACCAGATATATAAGTTCACTAGAAGTAGACATTGTATTGTCAGAATGACAACATAATATTTAATGTAGCAGGATTGAGAACAAATTGACTACTTCCGGTTTAAGAGAAACTAATTTTTTTCTATTAATAGAATAAAAAAAAGAGAATGGAATGGAAACTTATCATGTCCAATTTTATTGAACGAAAACATGGTCAATTTTCAGTATTCGAGTAAGGATTTACTCCAGGCTAGTCATTTCCCTCCTTCACACCAACATCATAATTGTCATGATCATATATGTGACAATAAACCCGCTGATGATTTTTCCCTTGAGGTTGAAGTTGGGTGGATTTATCAGCAGATTTGAAAGAGAAATTGAAAATTACTCCCTGTTCTCCTGTAAAGGATTACCCATTAATCCTGCCCAAAGATAAAAATAATAGTGACAATAATACCGTGAATAATAGTGAAACTTGCATAATACCAACATTGATGACACAACAACAATAGAAAGTTGGACAGAGTCAGTTGATCAGTCGTTGTTACGTAAGCAAAAGTTATTGAACAGGATGAAAAGTTGGAATCTGTACAGGAACACAAGTCCAAAGAATTATTTCAATAAAAACAATAATTACAGCCTCAATGTTAACAACAGTAATCTACCGGAGAAATATTTTGTGAAATACAGATTTAGGAATTTTGACTATTCTCCTGTAGATCACGGTGAAGATCATGTAGCAACAGTTCGTATATTGAATCGACATTTAACTAGGAATGAATATGTGGAAGCAGATCAGTTGCACATTGAAACAGATGTTTGTTCAGCTGACGTAACTGACAATTTGACAGGACAGTTTATCACGCCTGTGAGTGAAGTGATCATATCAGATGAATCTGACGATGGTAAGTGAATATCATGATTTAGTTTTATGTCGTGCTCATGTTTTTACTCTGGGAAGGTATAAATTATATTGGAAAGCTAGAGGTTACACTGTGTTCTAAAACCTGGTTGATTGATTTAAAAGAAGAATCTTCCTGTCACCGTGATTATCGCGTAAGGTAGACATTTCTTTGGAAATGATCCAGTTTGAATTTGAGGTAGGCCAACTGATAAGGGGATAGTAGGAACAGATACACTTTTCCAACAGGTGAAATTTACTAAGCCCTAAGTCCTTTCATATTAACACAACATTAATGACCATGTCGACTTCAGTCAACATTTGTAGCTATAAAATGGACATAAAGAGGTAGCTGTATGCAGTATCTTTCACTGTGAATCTTAAAGTGGATACGAACTGAAAAAACCCTATCGGTACACTTCATTGTAACTATGCAATTCCTAATGACAGACTGGTCTTATTTAACTTCAGATTGTCACTTTAAAATTTGGTTAGAATTTTGGTAAACTGTCGATGTTGTTGAAAATATCAGAGCTATTTCATACATTCTAGGAACTGATCAAAACTGAACATTTAATAGCTGCACTGGGCTGATAGCTACTCGATGACAGCAGATATAAAGAAATGCAGATAAGTTTCTAGATTACACCACAGCTGCACAGGAAGTTGAATGAATGGCAGTTTATGAGGTCTTTTATCTCATTTGTGTGGCATCGGGTTAGAAATCCGTTTCATTCCATAGATCAAATATGACTTTATTTCAGCATGGCATAATTTGACACTGAATTCATCACTAATTAGACCATTCAAATTCTGAGTAGCTACTTGAGTGAATTGGTTATATATGGAATTACAGTGGCTAATCAAATTCTGGTGATTTAATCAATTTGGCTGCCGGAGCAGAATCGATTTGGGTACAACCATGGTAAGCCGATACACAAACGGGCGAAACGGTTGTTCTATCCTCAGATCGTCTTGACCTGGACACTAACCATTTCTTATCAGTGCAAGTAGTTCACCACTAATAATGTGAGTTAGTAGTATGTTTTGAATAGCTTTCATGTTCCTAAACTTGACATCACTTGTGGTTTTCAGCTGGTCATATCATGTGGTTTAAAATTTTGTTGTCCGTAGAAGATCAAAGTGTAATTTCATGATAGGCTGTCATGCAATCATGTCAGTTTGATTTTGAAATTTGTGTAGGATTATTTGAGAATTTGTTATTTTTCTTTACCGTAAACCTAGGTATTCAGTTTATTGCAACAATATTATCTAACTCCATAGTTTAGTAGCTAGAGTAGAATGAAATGGAACTTAACGAAGATCTAATGAAATTTTCTTTACATCATGAGAATATGACACTTTCAGATCATCTTGATATACTGATCCAAAGCTGTTAACAAAATCAACAAACTTAGACTTCGTTAGTCCTTTAGAGAATGAAGGGTACAGTGCTAATTCACGCTGCCATGTTCTCAAAGCTTTTTTTATACATAATGAAAAGATATTTAAAGAGGAAGGGAAACCTTGAAGTATAAATGATCACAGTTTTCAATGAATTATTACATGTGTTTGTAAAATAACGAAAAAATAAACTGTCATCTAGGTTTTAATTGGTTAACAGTAGGTAAACAGAATTATGGTTCGGAATAAAACAAGCATATTATTTTGAATAAGTGTTCATAAAGGACTGACATCAGTTATGGAACCACTGAAAATCTGGGAGCACTGAACAGCTGCTTCGTCCTAGTATGGGACTCCTGAACAGTACGCACCAGTCGGAAAGGAAGTGGATGCCATCCGAAGACCTTGGGTAATAGGAACGTACATTGCAAATTGACAGAAGTTGGAAACTGTGAATCACTGAACTCCAACCCAGTGCCTGAATGGTTAAAGCTTTCACCGTAAAACCCAAAGGTCTTGAGTCCGTTCTCTAGCCAGGTTGTGGGTGTGTACTGCTATGGAGTCCTATACTAGGATGAAACAGCTGTTCAGTGATCCCAAGTTTTCAGTGAAGAATCGCAAAAACAAATACATTATTATTATTATTATTATACCGAAAAGGAACATTATGGGAGGAAATGGTAAATCGTTTCTAAAGCTAGAAAAGAAATGAGTAATGTGGCCGGTGATGGTGATGAATGTAATCGGAGTAGAATATCACGAACGTTCAACGGGGAATCAGGACTAACACATTTGGAAGTAGGAAAGCGAACCATAAAGTAGCAACAACTGCAATAATCAATCAATAAGATTGAGGTGAATATTGACGAAATGAAGAAAATTAGACAGAGATTACGCTCATAGAAAAAGAAGAGACTGAACATGTTTCTTTTGTATGCACATCTCGTTCTTTAATTGTTGAATTGCCAACACTTTTGCTATTCATAAGTGATAAATCCAAACTCCTTTTAAGATGTTGGTTTTAACTTTGATTACGACGGTGAAAACCATAACGTTGCAGAACTGCTGAAGAATCAACTTTATAAAAAAAATACAAGTCTTTCCATACTACTGAACTATGTACTATGTTATGCAACCAACAGTTTATTTAAGGAGGTGTAAAAGACGAATCGCCACTACCAGCCACATTCTAGTGGTTCTAACAGTTTACTTAATATTGTGGAGCTGCTTATTTAGGCTGCATGAAGTGCAATCTCTCCAAACGCATCTCTAAGTACTGTTCTGCTTGGTTGTACACAGGAGAATGAAAGTCAAGCAACATCTCGACCCTGGATGCATTAGTTAACTCAAGTCATTTTACTTCTCTGTAGTCGTATCAATATCATGTACAAAGTGCAACCGAACCCCTTAAAAAGAGCTCAGATTTGTCACTTGTACATAGCAAAAGCGTTGGCAATTCAACAGTTAAAGCACGAGCTGTGCATACAAAAGAAACATGTTCAGTCTCTTTTTTTTCTATAGGTGTAATGTCTATCTGATTTTCCTCATTTCTTCAATATTTGCCTTATTCTTATTGACTGATAATTGGTGTTGTTACTACGATGTGGTTTGCTTTCCTACTTCTAAATGTGTTGATTCCGATTCCCCATTGAACTTTCGTGATATTTTACCTCACCTCATAATTTTTTTTTCGCCTTACAGCAAGCACCGTGGTCGACTACATGCGTTTTCCTGTGCACCATTTGGTTATTCAATAGTTTTCCAACCCTAGAAATGAATAACCATTTCCTCTCAGAACATCCTTTTTTAATGACCTGCTACTGCTGACCTAATAACCAGCAATAGATTTACTAGTTTGTTATTAGTAAGTATGCAGTTTTACAGATATTGAAAATAATTTGTCGAAAAGTTCCCTAGCAAAATTACTTAGGTCTTGGCATCCGTTCACTCTCCTTCTGCTGGATATATGGCTGCCAACTGAAAAGTATGATCGCCTGATACACAAAGTCAAACAACAAGGTACAGAAAATCGAAACGCGGTGAGTATAAGTGATCTTAATCCTAGACGACCTTCCAATTGTAAACCACTTGTAAGCCTTGATTAGTTAATGCTACAATGTCTAGCTTTAAATGAATGCTAACCTTTTGTCTGAGCTGAAAGAACATTTGTTGACCGGGCTAAAAATGAAAACTCACTCTAGTTCAACAAAAAACTCAACATCTAATATCTTCCATGCGATGATAAGAAAAACAATGAATCGATCAAAGTGATACTTATTTAGTCGCATTTCAAACATGTTTATTCTTTCCGTCTTTTATTCTCTTCAAGAATATCTAATGAGTCATTATTTGGCACTTAGCCTTAGATTTTATTTACATACATACAGCCGGGACATCGTTTCTTATGTTTGTAGTAGCCATAGTAATTGGTAACTTTTAGTGGGCGTCATTTTTATTTAGTACTCTGGTAGATTGACGCGTTAACGTGTGCGGAAAGGGTTATGTGAGTCCTGTTTACCATATACAACTAACATACGTTGCATTATAAACGCTACACTTATATCTTCATAAATAACCATTCGTTGTATTAGGTTAGTTTGTAAATCGTTCTAAACAAGCTAATAAGAGTGAATGAGTATTGAAGGTGGATTTCCCCTCATAAATTGAGATGCCAAAGTTTTTCACTTAAATATGTATTGCATTGGTATGTGAAATACAAAATTGCTTAAACAGCATTAGTAAGCTAGAAGTGCTCGTCCTGTGGCGGAGATAATTTCAACTGATGGAATATCTGCAAACAATGATCCAGCACCTAATAATAACACACATCTACACAGAAAAATTAATAATGATAACCAGAACTCGGTATAAGAAAATAATGTTGACTAATATAACATAATCCTTCGATAAAAGATAGGCATAACGATTGGCCTAGCTCTACTGAAAATAAAGGAAATGTCACTATGTCTGCAGGTAACAGTAATTGTTCTCAAAATAAACCTTGTCATTAGACCTGCTGAGAAATGTCTACCTAGAAAAGGAGTAGTAAGGAGGTGAATTATGGATACAATAAGTCAATACATCTTAAACCACAGTTATTTTTTTCAGAACGAATTACTCTAAACAAAATTGCTGTAATAAAACACTGTCAACGCCAATGTGATACCCTGAAGCTGTTGGTTTTCTGTGAGTATGTGCACGTATACTACTGATCAGCATGAGTAATTGCTGTTGTCTAGTACCTATCAGTTTCACTTGTTCATAGACCCTATTTTAAGTGATTTGAATAGACTGATTCAGCTCGAACAGTAGAGTAATTCAAGCCATTCACATTATGACCATCTACGTTAAACAGCTATCCGTCTCATCCATCCCATTTTCGACACCCGACATATCACAATGAAGTTCTGCCGTTTGTTAGACCTTGTTGTAACACTTTCCTCTTGATCTGTGAATCTCATTAAAACCTTCACTGATTAAACATTATCACAGTGCTGATAACATAATATGTCGAGGACTAGTTAGCCCCTCTTAGCAATACTTTGAAACGTTACTTTCCTTTCATTTTGTGAGTTTTGGTTCTCAGAGTGAATAAAAAAT